TACTGGAAAACAGGTGGAGAACAAAAAGAAACGAGGAAAAGGACAAAACATAGGGGATGTAGGGACGACGTGCTGATGTGCTGGGAGCAACTCAACCGACCAGAGGTCTCGGCGTCAGCGTTGCAACTAGGCATCGAAAAATGTGTGTGAGGGGGGGGGGGGGTTGCACAAGAACAACTGCAAAACAAACAGAAGCTAGAGAATACCACAAATAATAACTTGGTGCGAAATAATGAGAAGAAAATCCTGACTGGTTGATCAGCTGCAAATGGCTCGAGACAAGAAGGACTCCTCTGGAGTGTGCTTCCTTGACATGTCGAAGGCCTTCGACAAAGTGCGGCATGCAATTATGATCCAGGACTGCTTTGAAATTGGAGTTGGCGGTACGGTGATGAAATGGCTCGTTAGCTACCTTACAAACCGGACACAACAAGTCCGCATCGGTAGCGAACTGAGCAACATCACAGTATGCACAAGTGGAGTACCCCAAGGATCTGTATTGGGGCCCATCTTATTCAATAATAATTATACACCCGAGCGGTAGCTGCAGTAGCTCACCCGACCCCTAGTATACAATTTGCTGACGATATTGCACTATACCAAAGTGGTTCCAACACGGCAACTATTTCACTGGGACTCTCGTCATCCGTCACTGCGCTGGCCGACTGGCTCGAAAACCGCGGCCTGATATTGAATGAACGCAAAAGTCAAGTTCTGTCCATCTGTGGGAGGGATGCGCAAACCAATATCGCTGTAAATTGCCTCACCCGACCCCTAGTATACAATTTGCTGACGATGTTGCACTATACCAAAGTGGTTCCAACACGGCAACTATTTCACTGGGACTCTCGTCATCCGTCACTGCGCTGGCCGACTGGCTCGAAAACCGCGGCCTGATATTGAATGAACGCAAAAGTCAAGTTCTGTCCATCTGTGCAGCACTGTACAAACGAATTGCTCATCTGTTGGCGGAGAAGAGGGGTGAGCATTACTCTCATGTTATGGCATTTGTTAGATGCAGGATTTCCTTCAGCCTTCTGAAATCCTGTATCGTGTGCATTCGCGGTTGTAGGCGTTTAAATTTTGGTTTGAAATTTGCACCCTCCTGCGGAGCCCACGCTGCTTTGGCAGTGGCGGAGGCTCGCTTGCCGACGTAACCGGCGGAGATCATCATGAACAATGGACTGACTAATTATTCACTTGTCCTGTCTTTATAAATAACATGTTATTGCATATGTTCTTGGTTTAGTTTTTGGCCTTTTTCGTGCTTTGGAGTTGATAACATTTTCCTCACTATCGAAAAAAAAATCTGTGGGAGCCGAGGGATGCGCAAACCAATATCGCTGTAAATTGCCATCCTGCTTGTACTGCGGCCAAGTACTTGGGTTTAACCATCATCGAGCAACTGACCTGGGACCACCATATCCACGATGTTACAGGGAAGGTGAACAGGAAAGTCGGAGCATTGTGGCGAGCCCGGCGATTCCTTTCCCAGAAGGCCAGGGTCCAATACCTAAAATCCGTTGTGAATCTTGTGATGCCCGACCTATTATATGGAAGTGTGGCCTATAGCACGTCCCTCTCAGCTTTTGCTCTAGGGAAACTCCAACGTCTTCAGAACCGTGCCATCCGCGCTGTGTTCAGCCTACCGCCCACATCTTCAGTAAGCCACCAAAGGGAGAGCATATCCCTCCGCAAAATCGAGGAGACACAACACCACCGACTCCTCGATCTCATCTGGCGCGGCCTGAACGGCCAATGTAGTACAGCGCTTTCAAAGCAGCTGACGCCCGCAACCACGGCCCCAACTCGACATCAAGCCAACGCCGGGCTCATTCTCCCGCTGGCCAGGACGAATACAGGCACTCGCCGACCGTTCTTCCGTGGACCTGCGCTGTGGAACACTCTGCCAGCCCGTGTACGTTCCTGCAAAGCCTTGGGCGATTTCGCAGCAGCCGTGTACCCGTACACTCTCAGGCCATAAACGTTTTTAACCCTTTGTCCTTTCGCCCATACTTGAACCGTACACAGGTGTACGGTTCAACCCACGCATGTTCAAAGCGACCTGGAAGCTACGCGGATCACCCGATCCACATGAAAATTCACGTGCACACAGCCTATGCTATGTATAGAAGATGACACACGGGTCGCTGGGGCTAGTTGCCATTTGAAAAAATTCCGGAAATCAAAGTCGAAGTTTGCTTGCGCCGTAACTTCCGACATGGCAGCACGCAGGTCGCTTGACGCAGATGAAGCGCTTGAACGTTTGTTTGAGGATAGCTGGAGTGACTCGAGCGACAACCCTATGTCCTCTGATGAAGAGGACGAACTGGACGAAGCCCTAGTTGAAGGTGCTGATTCTGATTTTGATGACGACGCGGACTCTGATGTCGGAACTGTCGACCCAATTGCCGGAGATGTCGACAACACTAATTTGAGTGCACGATCGGCAGAACAGCACTCGAGTGGCGAGGAGACTGTACCACCGCCGCGTCGTACCCGTCGTGGAGCAGCAGGGCCAGCTAGAGTGCCGCAGCACGTGGACCGGGAGCGCAGTCCGATCCCAGAGAGGTCCAGATCTCCGTCACCTGCGCGCCGTCAAACTCGTGGTCGACAGCCGCGCAGAGCAAGGAGAGTAGCCGCTCAGGGCCGAAATGTTGAGCCTGTCGCCACTGGCGCTCCTCTGGCCAACGCTCCAAAGTCGTGGAGCGACGATGACCAGTGTCCGGAGCTCCCAGAATTTCGTCCTGCACGTGCACCTGGAATTCATCTCCCAAACGATTTCCAACCAAAGAAGGAAGCTGATTTTTTCAAATTATTTTTAAACTTGTCCCTTGTAACATTCATTGTGCAGTACACAAATGACTATGCTGCCAGCCACATCTTGCAGAGAAAATCGTATGCACAGCAAGATGGATCATGGAGAGAGACAGATCCGAATGAGATGTACAGATTCATCTCTCTCATCATCTACATGGGCATCTGCAAAATGCCGCACGCCGCACACTACTGGAGTAAGGCGACCTTGTTCCACGGCTCTTGGGCACGGATGATGATCCGCACATGTAAGCGATTTTACGCACTGCAGTCCTTTCTCAAAGTGGTGGATTCAACAGCGGAAGACGAAACCGACAAGCTACGAAAGGTGAGGCAGTTGAATAACCATATGCAGGAGAAGTGTGCGGAATTTTATCAACCCGGCCGCAAAGTTGCAATTGACGAACGCATGGTGAAGAGTAAAGCCCGTTTTGGATTCAAACAATATATAAAAAACAAACCGGTACGTTTTGGTGTCAAGGTGTTTGCATTATGCGACAGTAAGTCTGATTATCTTTGCAATTTCAAAATATATACAGGTAGATCTACAACTGGTCAAATAGAGCACAATTTAGCACACAATACTGTCACAGAGCTTATGCATCCATACACTGATCAAGGCTATTTTCTCTTTACTGACAATTTTTATACATCCCCGAATTTGTACAATGACTTGAGCGATAACCTAGGCACTCGGGCAGCAGGAACCTGTCAGACCAATCGTCGTGGCTTCTCCCATGAGCTCCGTGATGTCAAGGTCTTTATGCGTCGTGCCGCACGAGGAGACATGCGCTATGTCCGTGATGGCCGGCTTGTACAGCAGCAGTGGATGGACAAACGAGCAGTAACAGTAATCTCAACGATGCATTCTGCAACAGATAGACTAGAAGTACACCGAATAGTAAAACAACAGGGTCAAGCACAAGAGATAGTTATCAGAAAGCCACAGCTGATTGAGGATTATAATACTGCGATGGGTGGCGTAGACGTCTTCGACCAATTGGCCTCAACATTCCGTGTTCTCCGCAAGACGAAGAGATATTGGAAATCGATATTCTATGACTTCATCGATGTGGCCGTCATCAACTCATACATCCTATTCAAAGAATGGGTGGCCAAGAATCCAGGACGCATAACTTGTGTACCGAAGTATCATCAGCTGCAGTTCCGACTGAACGTCATTCGGCAGCTGTGCGATATTCCAGACGACGCATCTGTGCCGCTGTTTGGAAAGCCCAGTGCACCACCTCCACCTCCAACTCTACCTCATCTACCTGTGTGCATTGAAGCCAGGAGGGACTGCACAGTGTGCACTGAGCCTGGAGAGACACGCTTCAAGTCCTCCTGGGTGTGCACAGTGTGCAAGAATCGCCAAGGCAACCCCCGTCCATTCTGCCTGGTCCCAAACCGGAACTGCTTCCACAGGTTTCATGAGAATCTCTAAATATCGTGGCAGTGTTTGCCCAACATGCCAGGGGTGCTACTCCAGGTCATACTTGTACCAATTGCACATTATTATACATAGGAAAGAACTTGAACTTTTATTTTTTGCCGATTTTTGCCGAAAAATCATTTTTGCTACTCTTGTTTAGCCACGCCCACCTCAGGAATGCAACCCAAACTGCATTTTTAGTTCACAATTATCATAAGCTTTCAGGAAAACATAAAGTGTACATACAAAATATCAACTGCTTGGGTATGGTGAGTGAATTTGTTGAAGCAGGTACCCCTCACATACATTTTGGGCAAAAGGACAAAGGGTTAAAGAAGAGAAACAGTGACACGCACCCCCCCCCCCCCCCACACACACACGGACAGCATGTATAGGCATGTAACGAACGGTCTTTTCCTGTTAGCTCTGTTTGTCCAATACATGAGATAAAACGTCTTTCTTCTTGTTTTTCCTTCTACATGTACATGTAGCTGCTTCCAGCATGGTAAACGACAGTACCATGGCCTTTTCAGATTTTCATTGTACCTATTTGTAGTACCTCCCGGGACCAGTATTTCCACTTGAAATAATATCCACCCCAATGCCTCATTCTTAGCATTCTTTTATTCGCTTCCATGTAATTGGGCTTATTGCCCGTTTGGTATTGCGAATTCAAATAAAAAACAACAACATTGTGGGAACTCCTTCCGGTACACCCCAGGGCGTGCTCTAGACATTCAACACAGCCCGGTCAGAGTGTACCTGGCGCATGCAGGCCAGCCGGATCGAGCCGTGTCATATCATCCGACAGAAAAACAAACAAAAAGCCTGCTCAAAACGCAGGAAAACAGAAAGGCGAATTTATTACCGGAAATCGGAAATTTTAGAGAACAAGGCGAACTATCAAAGTCCGCAAACGTAGAAGGTAAACGACATTACGTGAAGAATGCAAAGCAGTTCCATTGGATTCTGATTTAACAATTTGAAAAAAAGGAATTCTGTTCTCTAATTTATAATATTATACAAGTAGTGCTAGTAGCAGGACGAACATGTTCACATAATAGAGCACTGGGGGTGGGGGGGGGGGGGGCTGCAGCACCTTGTGGAGTGGCTGCTGGCTGCCACTGCATCACCTGCATGGCCAAGCCGACTGGCATCTGCTGCACCATCTGCTGAAACGCTTCAGCAAACTGGAGAACTGGTGGAGTTGCAACTGCTGCTGCTGCTGCTGCTCCTGCTGCTGGTGCTGCTGGCGCTGCAGCTGCTGCTGGCGCTGCTGTTGCTGATGGCGCTGTTGTTGCTGCTGATGCTGCTGGCGTTGCTGCTCTGGGTGTGCGGGCCAGGTCCCGCCCTTCAGAAGAGGTTGACGTTGCAGTCGTACTGTGCCGAGTCACCTCAGAATGCCATGCAGCCTTGTCGTAATTGAAGTCGGCGACGGCAGGAACGTCGAGCTTGATTGCCATGATCATCTCCAGATTCCTCGTCGACAGCGAGTTCCGCATCGCCGTCTTCACAAGCTTCAGCCAGGGTCGACCTTTCTTCCAAGAGTTTTGGAAAGCATGAGTTCTTTTTCTCTTCGCTGCGGTCTCCATCGTCCAAATCACCAGTCGGCTGAAAACTTGCAACTGTGTCAAAAGCTATAGCCAAAGTAACTAGTTACGCTTCTGACTGCCTGCCCCATCGACTTTGAATGTCCTGACTTCCTGCTCGTCGCTGGCTCGCCGCGCTCGAACCAGTTGACCCCAGTTGACCCTAGCCGAGTTTCTGTCGCTTGACTGTAGTGTGTACAGTTGCGCTAGATTTCCAACAGATGGGGTCCGCGAGTCGTAAAATACCGGTATTTTAGGAATCCATTGTCAGTTTGAGACATTTTTCAGCCGGGTCAGACTGGACCCGGTGTTATCTGTTCAGCCAGGTCGTGCAGTTCCCCAGCCGGGCGCGTGACCCGGCTGACCCGGCTCTCCAGCAGGCCCTGCACCCGTACCGCAAAGTGCCATTGATGATCGATGAATGCCTTCTGCAACTGGAACGGCACCCTAAACGTTGTCGCCTCGGCGGCCTGAATGCGCAGGACGAAAAATATTGCTGCGAAGACGTCCGCTCTAGGCCTTTGGAGACATGGTGCGAACTCCTTCCGGTACCCCCGTATCGCAAAGTGCCATTGATGAATGTCTTCTGCAACAGACAGAAATTGCACCTGGACACGCAAAGACAAAGCAGGCCGCTTACATGGTGACATCTCGGGAGAAAGCAAAGCAGGCCACGTACAGGGTGAGATGACTGAGATCGCGGGGGAAAGACCAGGCCGCGCACATTAAGACATCGAAGAAGAAAGGAAAAAGGCATGGGCCAGTCACAAAGAGGGCGAAGGCGAAGGTGCCCCAGCGAAAGTGAATGCGAAGAACACGGGCAAAGGAACGGACACACACAAAGATGGTTGTCCGCGAGAAAAAACCCACGTGCAAAATTGCACATATGTGACATTCTTGGCAGTGTGGACGATGTTCCGGACGCTGCATTTGGCCTCCCCACGTGGCATCCTTCCGTTCCCCGACAGGATCTAGGACTCCACTTCCACCTATTTCACCACCACTGCACATTTTCACTGCTGACATGAAAGGAAGTCACCGAGACGTGATCCGTGACGCTATTCGTGATCGTCTTCTGGATGATGCAGAGAGAGTGGACGATGTGCGGATCGACACGGTCTGCGGGTACTTCATTAAAGTTACCCATGACATAACTAGGATAAAAGTTAATCACTGCAAAGACATTGCCAAGTATGTGAGCACATTGGACTTGTCAGAAGGGTGCACGGGCGACGTTGACAAAACATACCGCGGTGACTGTCACTATCATAACAGCAGGGCACATCGCATGCAGCACCACAGATCGTGTCGAATTGCGCATCATAATTGCAAAATTGCTCCTGTGCATGCAAGTGGATTTCATTGCACTTTTCAGTTTGGGAAATGCTCGATTATGACAATTCTGCGTGTGA